AGCTAGGTACGTGTGTCACTAGGCACTTCAGAAATAGCAGCCTGGGAACACGCCCAGCGGGTGGCTGCACCACCGAGCTGGCTGCTGCTGGACTCATGCTCACCCTTTCTTCCTTTATCCTCTCTTGAGACCTTGCTACCCACCTGATTCCCATCTCTACCCCCAAGGAGGCAGAAGCTCATGGAATTCCTCACTGGTCTTTCTGAGCACGTTAGAGGAAATGCTTAACTTCCTTCTACGTTTTCTTTAAGCCAATGTTGTATAGCTTGGACGGGTTACCCCCGGGTGTAGTAGACGTAGCACCACAGACTCCATCAGAGTGGGTCTTGGGGTGTGTCTCATACTTGTTCATGAGTAACTGTATGGACAAGTCTGAGCAGCTATGTTCACAATCACTGAATAATAACTCACTGAGGCTGCGGAGACGAGGGACATCAGCAAGAGATTGGCTCCTAAGTAAACATCCGGCTCTCCCTTCCCCCACAGAGAAGCACATGCCTTCAAGGAAAGAAGCAAATGGAAAACTAAATACCAAAGTCACTGGGGGGGGGGACTGAAAGACTGTTTTTCTTAAGTTTTAGGGGAATGGGACAAAAAGGCTGAGATTTATTTGGAGATTGAGAATTGCAGTTAACCTTGGGGTTCCGTTTTTTGTTTGTTTGTCCATCCCCTTTGTCCTCACCTAGGCAAGAGTCAAAAGTTGAGAAAACATGTGGGCGGAAGGGCCACCTAGCACTGCAGTGCCAACAGAGAACAAATGCCGTTTTTTGTGTTTGGCTCAAAAGGGTGTTGGCTTAAACCAGTTCACCCTGGACCTGTTCCAGTTCATAGCAAAGTAGGTATCCTGGCAACTTTGTTTCCTTCATCCCCATTGTAGCCCCTTATTTTTATGAATTACTCAAGTCCTTTGCCACATGATTTGTGGAAGAGAGAAGAAAGGATCTGAAACTTCCTATACTTTTCTTGGGTTAGTTCCAGTGATGGACAGAAAGGGTGGAGATGGACAGCATCCAGGTCCTCTGTCCCCTCCCCTTGGCTGGGAGCCAATGGGACCAGGGCAGTCAGGGGTACTAAGGGATTCATTTGAAATCTTGTTTCTTGAGAAATAGTTTTATTCTGTTTCCTATGGATGTAATTCCTTTTGGAGTAATTGGCTGGCTGGCTGGCTGGCTTGCTTTCTTTCTTTCTTTCTTTCTTTCTTTCTTTCTTTCTTTCTTTCTTTCTTTCTTTGTATCAAACCTAAGTTGATACATCCCTGCACTGACTGTGTTTGAGGGGTTTCCCTGTTCCCTCCCCATCCTCCAGCCTTGACAAGTCAAGGTTGTTAAAGAGGCTCAGACTGGGATGGGAGGGCATGAGTATGTCCTGGTTTCTACTCTGCAGACTCAAAAGTCTTAGGGAAAGGAATCTGAGGTAAGACCAAGATCTTAGAGATTTTAGGTAAGACCAAGTCTTTTGTTTTCAAAGCCAAAGTTCAATTTCCTACCATGCCCCTGGCAGGAAGCTTTTCTCCCTTTCTTTATTCAGGAAATTTGGACTTTTTCCTCCCACTCTAGCATATTGAAGCAAAATTAAAGCTTAGCCCCATCCTAGGTCTTCTACTTAAATTACTAAGGGCAATTTTAAACATATATATAAACCTGCCTGCCAATTCTGCTGTGTTTTTAGTCATTTGGGTCTCAAACACATTTGATGGCAATTACATAACACTTTATACATTTTACCTTTTTAAGTTTCTCTTGTTTACCTCTGGTATATTTTCTTCCTCTTTTAGGGCAGGGAAATATGGGGAAATTTGCTTCTAAGAGTAGTGTAGATGTGGAAGCATGTGCTGACCCTGATGACAATACAGAAAATGTATTTTCCCTTCCATGGACAGTGTTGGTACATACAGTCAAGAGCTATAAAAACAACTACTGGAACCAGCAGTTGGCGTAATGGCTGTGTCGCTGGACTCCCATGTAGTTGACTGTGGTTCGGGTCCCGCACCTTGTGGCCCAAACTCACACCGGGCTCGTGTGCGTGCCTGCCCAGGATCCCGAGAGAAGGAATTGCAACGTGGTTATCCCCCCCAGGGGGTGATTTCTCACTTTCTGTCTCTGTCTTTCTGGCGAGCACGCGTGCCCTATAGCAAAAACCTCTCAAAAAACAAACACAACTACTCAGCCAGGGCTTTAGCTAACTTGAGGTCTCTAGTCTTAAAGCAGAAAAAAGCTGAGGATTTTCTAACATACAGTTTAGGATCTAGGACACCCTTCACTGCGGATTCCCTTTTCTCTACACCTCTGTGGAAATCTAGCAATGCTTCCTTTACACTTCTTTTCCTTTATTATGGTAGAGAAAAGTGAAAGACACTACTTCTTGGCTTTTTATTGACCCATCTCTTTACCATATATTAAAAGCCTCTGTGGCCACCAGTACCTAAGTAACATAACCCGGAGAAGAAAAAAGGAGCTGTTACCAAACATGAGGCATCATGACTGACCCGGCCCCTGAGGCAGCACAGCCTAGCATCAACTGCACAAGCTTTGGAGTTCAGACACTGGAGCTCAGCTTGATGGAGGGTCATTTCCCTCCATGTTAAAGGGAGCCTCAGATAGTTACTATTTGACAGGATCACCCTAGGATCGCAGGAGAGTGAAGCTGCAGCACTTGGCACACAATAGACGGTGAGTGGTATCCGGGTGGGCAGGGGCAGGATGGGCAACAAGAAGTTTTAGGGATTGGTGTGATCAGGAGGAACTTGCCTGCAGCTGGGGCATGTGGTAGTGGCCAAGTCCCAAGTTGTAGAAGAACCAGTCGTCGATGCATTGGCCTTTAGCTACAAGAGTTTGCTTGCTTGCTGCAGGGGACAGGATAACTACATTCCTTCCTTCCTCCACGCACAAGTTACACAGGTGATGACGTGAGAGTTGAGTGATCGGCATCCGCTCGGCACCCAGCTCATACTTGGCACATAGTACGCAGTCAGTAAGTGTTTGAGGGGTGAGTGTAGGGAGCTGCCCTCTCAGGGTAGCCTACTTATTCCATGTCCCTCTACTATCCTAATAGGAGGACAGGGTAGATTGAGTAAAGAACTGTCAGTTTCTGTATCCTTTGGAGCTTTCGGCCAATATGGTGATTGATACATATTTATTTCAGTAATTATTGAGTACCTGCTATTTTGTTGCCTGCATTATAATACTCCCTTGACCCTTTTGGTGTAGAATTATGAGAAAAGGTTTCAGTCATCCTTTCTGAATGCCTACGTCCTCCTGAAAACGCAGAAACACGAAATCTTTCTCTCCCACAATCTTGTCTCTTTCTCTTTGTATTCCAGAGTGTTTAACATACCGGAAGATGGAGACAAGATTCAGAATGGTCCTGTGACTCAGATCAACCGCCCTTCCCTGTCAGAACCTCCGGCCTCTCTGGAAACAGAATAAACCGCTTTCTCTGATGCTCTTCCTCTACAGCTCTTTAGATTCAATCACCATTGACACTTGAGAACCGACTCTAACCTTCCCCACCTCCAGGTGAGGGCACTGATGGGAATTACTGAGAGCCTCCTGGCTGCCCCCACATTCATTTCCCTCATATTTTACTACAAAATTTGATCAGGTTTCTATTTTTAGTGTGTAAAATTAACCAAGTGTATCAGGAAAAGAAGAGAAAAGATAAAAGGATGTTAGAAGCTAGGATGGAATGGGACCAGCAGATGGCATAATGGTTATGTCGCTGAACTCCCACATATTTGACAGTGGTTCAAGTTCTAGACTCCTGGGCGTGGGCCATTACCCCCTGGGGGATGATTTCTGTCTGTCTCTCTGGTCCTATAGCAAAAATCTCTCTTAAAAGAAAAAAGCTGCATTGGAAATGAGAAGCAAAAAGCAATAAGGCACCTTTTTGTGAGGTAAAGGGGGAGATGGTTGGAGGCCAACTATTACTGGACGAAGCATGGTGTGGTAGAAGAGTATGCGACTTGGCTTCAGAAGCCAGTATCAGGGGAACCAGCAGTTAGCGTAATGGCTATGTCGCTGGACTCCCACGTAGTCGACCGTAGTTCGTGTCCCGGACCCGGTGGCTTAAAACTCACGCTGGGCGCGTGTGCGTGCGTGCCCAAGATCCCGAGAGGAGAATGGAGGAGAAGGGATTGCGGCGTGACCATCCCCCCTGGGGGGTGATTTCTCGCTTTCTGTCTCTATGTCTCTCTCTGTCTGTCTGGCAAGCACACGCGCCCTACAGTGAAAATCTCTCCAAAAAAAAAAAAAAAAAAAAAGCCAGTATCAGCACTTTGTGTTTAGCCTTAAGTCATTTGCCTTCTCTGACCTCAAATTCCTCATCTGTAAGATTAAGAGGCTTCTGAGGTCCCTCTTAAGCACCAAGAGAATGGACTCCAAGAAGTGACCTCTCAGATCCTTTGTTCCAGCCTTACAGCTGTTATACCCATTTATTATCATAGCTCATGGGTGCTGTTGCCCTTTACAACATAGCACGCACGGTACTAGAGGATTTACATAAAATTAACCTCCATAATTGAGAGCGATACAAGTATTCCCGTTTTGTGTAGCTGAGAAAAACTGAGGTTTAGCGACATTTAAGTAATTTACCCAGAATTATATAGTTAATGGCAGTTCAGGATTTACATCTGAATCTGATTCCAAAATCTGTGCTCTTAATTTTCTACCTGCGGTACAGACTATGTGAGATAAAATGTTACGGTTAAAGGGAAACTACTGACAACTATTTGCAGTCTCTTTTTCTCCCACGCTAGCTCTCAAGAGTTCTATCTCTAATCTCAAAACCGCGTGACACCTTATTGCTACTTTCGGCTTTCCCTGAAACGCCCCGGGTCTCGAGTTTGCCGGTGTGTGTAACAGTTTCGGTCTTCCGGTCACCCGGAACCACTCACACGTCTGCCGGCCTGTGTAGGGAGTGCCTTTTCGGAGTTCCTGGGGGTGGTGCCAGGCTGGAGTGGCAGCTGTATTCACCAATAGGCAGGCAGCTCGTTGAGTCAAAAGCCAATGGGGAGTGTGGTTCGAGGATGTAGGAACCGGTCTGAAGGAACATGGGGCTATGTCAGAGGTGGCGGCGACTCCGGCTCCTGGGATTAGAAGCCTGCGGGCTACACACGGTGCGTGAGGTACCCAAGTTCCGAACAGCATTGGGCCCAGGCCAGCCAAAGCCTGAACTGTAGGCTCTCAAGCCATCCGCACGCCACTTCCCCCCACCCCGGTTCCCCTGGACAGGGCTACACTGCGCCTACACTTGCCAGTTAGCGGTCCGGATCCCAGAGCCGCGTAGGGCCCCAGCCGAGGGTCCTCTGTCACCCACTTTCTTTAAAGACTAGGGATTGGTATTAAGGCTGCAAATCTCACCCTCCCCAATCCCAGGAAATGGTGTTACTTCCTGTTTTCTTTCCCTCAGGCTGCTGTGCCGACCCCTCCACACTGGTTGGCGGAGCGGCTTGGCCTTTTTGAGGAGCTGTGGGCTGCTCAGGTAAAGAGGTTAGCAGGCGTGGCACAGAAGGAAGCCCGGAGTATTAAGGTGTTTCTTCCTGGAGGCAAGAAAGTGGATGCTGTGGCATGGAACACAACTCCTTACCAGCTAGCCCAGCAGATCAGGTACCAGGCCCATCCTGTACTTGACAGGATTATCATTCTGTCCCTTTACTTCCTCTGCACCTGAGCCGGGAAGAAAACTTCGTCTGCTTGTTTCTACTGCATCCCCACTGAAATAGCCTTTCCTGAGGCTTGTTTTTATCTGCATTAGTTTGAATCGCTGCCCTTCCTCTGACATCCATTGGGAAAAGAAATGATAGTTTCTTTTGCTCTGGTAACTCATTTCCTCATGGTAAATTTAGTACATCTGAGAGGTTGATCTTTCCCTTCCCTGTAGATTATAACCCTGTCTTTTTCCTCATTTCTACCCCCGGCTGCTAAAGTTCAACACTGGCAGATACTGCAGTGGCTGCTCAAGTGAATGGAGAACCTTATGATCTGGAGCGGCCCTTGGAGGCAGATACTGATCTCAAATTTCTGACATTCGATTCCCCAGAAGGCAAAGCTGTAAGTTTCTTCCTTATTAGAGATACAGTGGCTAAGAGAAGCCAAAAATTTAGCATGTATTTCTTTTGCCTCAGTTTCTGCATTTACAATTGGGAGGAAGACCTATGGCAGACTATCTAGACTATCTGACTATTCCTGGCTAAACTGGAAATTTAGGGCAGAAGGTTTTTTTTGTTTGTTTGTTTTATAGAGGTTTTTGCTATAGGGTGCATGCGCTCGCCAGAAAGAGAGTGACAGAGACAGAAAGCAAGAAATCACCCCCAGGGGGGATGGCCACACCATAATCCCTTCTCCTCCATTCTCCTCTCAGGATCTTGGGAACACACGCACACATGCCTGGCATGAGTTTAAGCCACAGTGTCCGGGACTCAAACCGCGGTTGACTACATGAGAGTCCAGCGACATAACCATTACACTAACTGCTGGTCCCGGCAGAAGTTTTTATCTAGCCTCAGTCTGTTAAGCAAATAGCATTTGTGCCAGTGCAAGGGAGAGATAATAAGCTGAAAACAGAAGGATAATACGCTAATTCAATCCCCTTGGTTCTTAAGGACATGCATTATAGGTCATCTGTATTATATATTCATTTCTAACATGGCTTCCACAACTGAGCACACAACCTGGCCACCTCCTCACTTTGTCTTCTTTATGTCAGTTCAAGTAACAGACCTTGTCTATTAGGATCCAGAAACATGGAATTTCCATGTCATCTATGTATAGATAGTGGCCAACCCCTAGAGAAATAGTTACACTATATTCCTAGGATAGAAAAAGGACTATTCTGGGACCAACAGTTAGCGTAATGGCTATATTGCTGGACTCCCATGTAGTTGACCATGGTTCAAGTCCTGGACCCAGTGGCTTAAACTCATGCCGGGCTCGTGTGCGTGTGTGCCCAAGATCCCAAGAGGAGAATGGAAGAGAACGGATTGCAGCGTGGCCATCCTTCCTGGGGGGTGATTTCTCGCTTTCTGTCTCTCTCTCTCTCTCTCTGTCTTTCTGGCAAGTGCATGGGCCCTATAGCAAAAACCTCTCAGAAAAAAAAAAAAAAAAAGGACTATTCCTAGGGTAGAAAAAAAGGCCATCTGGGGGCCAGCAGGTGGTGTGATGGTTAAGGCGCTAGACTCCCACATGACCAACTGTGGTTTGAGTCCTGGACCTGGCAGCTTGCTTTCTCTCTTTGTCTCTCTCTGGTGAGTGCACATGCCCTTTAGCAAATTAATAATAAGAAGAAATAAGAAAGATATCGGGTTGGAAAGGTCATGATGTGTTTTTGTATGTTTCTGTGCAAAATGCATCATGACTTTTCTAACAACCCAATAGTTTATTTATTTTTTTTTTTTGAGAGGTTTTTGCTATAGGGCGTGTGCGCTTGCCAGACAGACAGAGAGAAACAGAGAGACAGAAAGCGAGAAATCACCCCCCGGGGGCGATGGCCACACCGCAATCCCTTCTCCTCTATTCTCCTCTCCAGATCTTGGGCACGCACGCACATGCACCCGACGTGAATTTTAAGCCACCGGGTCCGGTACTCAAACTGTGGTCGACTACATGGGAGTCCAGCGACATAGCCATTATGCTAACTGCTGGTCCCCCTAATAGTTTATTCTTCTTTAAAAATTTATTCATTTTGGGACCAGCAGGTGGCATGGTGGTTGAGGTGCTGGACACTCCCACATGGCCAACCAGCGTTCGAATCCTGGACCTATTGGCTTCCTTTCTCACTTTCCCTCCCTCTCTCTATCTCTTTCTCTGTTTCTCTCTGATCAAATTAAAATAAATGGATGAATAAATAAATTGGGTCAATAATTCTTTTTAAAAATTGTATTCATTTTTTAATAATTATTTTTATTTAACTTACATTTGTTTGTTTACTTATTTATTTTAATTTGACCAGAGAGGGACAGAGAGAGAGCAAAAGTGAGAAAGCAAGCCACCAGGTCCAGGACTCATACTGCAGTCAGCCATGTGGGAGTCCAGCGCCTTTAACCACCATGCCAGCTAGAGGTGCTGGACTCCCATGCTGGCCCCCATTATTATTATTCTTTAATTTAATGAGAGAAGGAGAGAGCGAGAGGGAGAAAGTGAGAGAGCAAGTCACCAGGTCTGAGATTTGAACCATGGTGGGAGTCTAGCACTTCAACCACACCACCTACAGGCCCCCCAATAGTTTATTCTAATGTTTAGTGTTGAAGAAGATGAATATATCTAAATCTTTCTTATGATTATTATACACTGTATGCATATTTTTTAAGAATTATTTTCTTTAACTTTATTTATGTATTTATTTATTTTAATTGGACCAGAGAGGGATAGAGTAAGAGAAAGAGAGAGGGAGAATGAGAAAGCAAGCCACCAGATCCAGGACTCCAACCGCAGTTGGCCATGTGGGAGTCCAACACCTGTAACCACCAAGCCACCTGCCAGCCCCACTATATGCATACTTTTTGAAAAACCATACTGTCTCCACAAAGATGGAATAAATGTAAATCAGAAATCACAGTTACTTCTTATTTAGAAAATATAGTTTATTCTGAAGCCCTAAGAGGTTAAAGGAGCAGCAAAAGAAGACTTGACTAGCTGCTTCTGTGTCCCAGGACCAAGAAGCTCTAAGGACTGAGGGCAGGGCTGGAGCTTCTGCTGGCCTTCTGCTTTCTTTTCAGTTAAATCTTTTTTTTTTTTTTTTAACTTTTTACGATTTAGTAGTCATCTCCAGTCTGGGTTTTCCATTTTGTGGTAATTATTCCTAGAGCCAGACGGCTTTTCCCACCAGCTTAACTGAGAAAATGATCAGAGATCTATGGGTTGAGGGAGAAGTTTATGAAGTCCTGAGCTCTTTTCTTGTGAACCCAGGTATTCTGGCACTCCAGCACCCATGTTCTGGGGGCAGCGGCTGAGCAATTCCTAGGTGCCCTTCTCTGCCGAGGTCCAAGTACAGAATCTGGCTTTTACCATGATTTCTTCCTGGGAAGGGAGCGGTGAGTAATGCAAAAAAGGAGAATGATTCTGGGGTGGTTTCTGAGGCTCAGTTCTGGCACCTTGAACATGTTCAATTTGGGGGAGATGAGGGGAGAGCCCCTCTACGCCTCAACAATAATGTTGGTAGCACCTTCTCCACTATCCATGTCCCTCCTCTCCTGACCTCTAGCCTTCAGGAATTCCTAATTTTGTCAGTCCAGATGTCTAGCACTCAGCTTCTAACTTCACATGTAGACCTTTTTCTCCAAATGTAAAATCTGTTGCCGATTTCCTATTTATATATTTTTTTAAGTTTGTTTGTCTTTTCCAACAATTCTAGACTTTTCCTAGAGGTCAGGACTTCGCTCCCTAGCCAGCCAGGTGATGTTCCTTAGAGGGTACAAGCTAACTAACTCTCCTCTTGCCAGGACAATTCAGGGCCCAGATCTGCCTGTTTTGGAGCGTATTTGCCAGGAGCTTACAGCTGCTGCTCAACCCTTCCGGAGGCTAGAAGCTTCCCGAGATCAGCTTTGCCAGCTCTTCAAGGTGGGCTGGAGAGATGACATTTTTTGAAAGAAGATTCAGAGGCACAGAGAAGGGGGAGCTCACTCCAAGGACAGCTTTGTGGAAATAAAAGCGTATCTTTACTGTTCCCCTTTGCTTTCTTCCAGGATAACCCCTTTAAGCTTCACTTGATCAAAGAGAAAGTAACAGGACCAACAGCAACAGTATATGGGTGAGAGTCGTCAAGATTAAGGGAAACAGGGAGAGGAGGGGAAGCACGCAAAAGGCCAGAATTGAGCCAAGGGAGAGAAGACAGGAGATAAACTGTGTTACTCTAGAAAAGGACATGCCATTGCTTTTTCTCTCTGTAGAATAGTTCCTTACTCTTCACCACCTCTTTCTGTTAGCCAGAGGCCACAGATGGGAGAAAATGGAAAGCTCAAGAGCCTGCAATCCATTAACTGGCTTCGTCTCTTCTTCTCCCAGGTGTGGCACATTGGTCGATCTTTGCCGGGGCCCCCACCTTCGGCACACCGGACAGATTGGCGCTCTGAAGCTGCTGACGGTCAGTTGTGAGGGCAGAGTGAGGCTGAGGTTCCTATTTTCACAGGGGAAAGCAGAATAATAGGAAGAAGGTGCTCTCTCCCAGCCCCTTCTCTACTCTGAGGGAAGAATCTAGAAATAGACAGAGATGCTTAGTCTACACGTTCTAGAAACCCCCAGTGTGAAGGCAGGTACTAGACACCCTGCTAGGGCCCAGAAGCCAATTAGCTTTTTTGTTCATTTTTTTTTTTTTAAGAGAGATTTTTGCTATAGGACACGTGCACTCACCGGAGAGACAGACAGAAACAGAAAGCAAGAAATCACTCCCTAGAAGGGATGGCCAGACCACAATTCCTTCTCCTCTCAGGATTTTGGGCATGCACACACACGTACCTTGTGCAAGTTTTAGACCGCCAGTTCTGGGACTCAAACCATGGTCGACTATGTGGGAGTCTAATGACATAACCATTATGCCACGTGCTGGTCCCTTTCCATTTGTATTTTTGTTTTTGTTTTTTAGAGGTTTTTGCTATAGGGTGTGTGCGCTCGCCAGACAGACAGACAGACACAAAGCGAGAAATCACGCCCCAGGGGGGATGGCCACGCCACAATCCCTTCTCCTCCATTCTCCTCTCAGGATCTTGGGCATGCACGCACACGCGCCCGGTGTGAGGTTTAAGCCACCGGGTCCGTGTCGCGAACTGCGGTCAACTACGTGGGAGTCCAGCAAGATAGCCATTACGCTAACTGCTGGTCCCGCTGTCCATTTGTTTTTAACATTTTATTTATTTGTTATTTGACCAGAGAGAGAGAAAGCAAGCCGCCATGTCCAGGATTCAAACTGGGAGTACAGAACCTTAACCACCATACCACTTGTGACCTGTCAAGTTTCTTAGTCTGACATCAGTGTTAAGGGGACTGGAGCAGTAAGATGTGAGCAGCCTAGACAGGGTCATATATGGAAGGCTCTGTGGAAAGAGAGGGCATGTTCCAGGAGGACAGTGAACATTGTCAACAGACACAGGAGAATACCCTATGGCATAGTGGTTATGTCACTGGACTCCCACATGGCCAACTGTGGTTCAGATCCCAGACCTGGTGGATTAAAAATCATGGCAAATGTGTGTACATGGGTACCCAAGGTCCCAGGAGGAGAATGGAGAAGGGATTGCAGTGTGGCCATCCCCCTGGGGAGTGGTTTCTCACCCCTCTCACTGTCTCTCCCTGTCTGTCTCTGATGAGCACATGTCCTAAAGTAAACAAACAAACAAACACAAATAAACCTCTAAGAATACCCTAAATAAAGGGCATCCTTTTTATTAAAAAAAATCTGCCTGGTCGGGACCAGCAGGTGGCATGGTGGTTAAGGGAACTGGACTCCCACATGTCGGTCACAGTTTGAGTCCCAGACCTGGTGGCTTACTTTCTCATTTTCTCTGTCTCTCCCACTTGCTCTCACTCTGTCCCTCTCAGATCAAATTAAAATAAGTAAATAAAGTTAAACAATTATTTAAAAATTGTTTTAAAAAATCCATCTGGACAAGGTGAGCTATGAGATGGTGGAGGACTCGAGTAAATAAAGTTAAACAATTATTTAAAAATTTTTTTAAAAATCCGTCTGGACAAGGTGAACTATGAGATGATGGAGGACTCAGGAGCAAGGGGGCGGGCTTTTTTTTAAGCAAAATGCCCTAAACTGAAAGCCTAACCTCTATACGCACCTCATTCTGCCACTAATGACATGTGTTGCCTTGAAGAAGTCTCTGTATCCATTTTCCTCAGTATAAAACGAGGCTATTAATTCCTGTTTTACCAGTTAATCCACTTCATAGAAACAATGAAAATCAACTAACGCAGAAGAAAATGTTTGAGGAAGGGTTAAAAGTGCTATAAATGTAATCTGTTTCATATTGGTCTATTATTAAAGGAAAGAGCAAGCAGAGACATTTGAATTGTATGTGACCAGGAGTAGAATATGGCATCAAATGCTGACTCCGGCAGCTGTAGGATATTGTTAAGAGGAGGGGTAGACTGACATTTGACCGAGGTTCAGATCACAGTCTCCAGGGCAGTGGTCGATTAGAAGGGGAGGAACTAACGAGCACCTGGCTTCTGGTAGGTTGGTGGTAGGGAGAATGGTGAGAAAGCGGCGGGGCCAGATGAGGCTCACCCTGGAGGCGTAGGAGTCGAGTCCAGTGACTCCTAAGGCTGTAAACTCAGCAAGGGGTGCCTAGAGGATGGACAGGTCCATCCTGCGGGTGATAGAGGGAGGAGGAGTGAGAGGTGGGTAGCATCACTGTCACGTGGCGTGCTCTGATGCTTGCACCCGGAGCCTCAGACCCAGCTTGGAGGAGAGCTGGGTGCCTTTGGTCATCTCGCCTTCCCTTTGGTCACCTCGGTCCTCCACAGAACTCGTCGTCCTCGTGGAGGTCTTCAGCAGCCCCGGAGATGCTGCAGAGAGTGTCTGGGATTTCCTTTCCCACCGCAGAGTTGCTGAGGGCCTGGGAAGCGTGGCGGGAGGAGGCAGAGCTGCGAGACCACCGGCGTATTGGGAAGGTACGGAGCCCGGGATGGCGATGACGGTTGGAATCTGATCATGAGCTTGGGAGGAGATTCGGTCAGAGAAGCTCCATCAGTTGTTTTTCTGGTTTCCGAAGCTCCCATCTGCCCCTGAACGACCATTTCCATTTCTGACCCCAGGAACAGGAGCTCTTCTTCTTCCATGAACTGAGCCCTGGGAGCTGCTTTTTCCTGCCACGAGGGACACGGGTGTATAATGCACTGGTGGCTTTTATCAGGGTAAGGAGGACCCAAGGCCAGGGTAAAGAAGACTGTGGAGGGGCTAAGGGCCTAGAGGTCAAGGCGTTTGGGTTGAAAGACAGGGTAGGGAGTGTAGACATACATTTCGTGAAGTGCTGGTGACCTGTAGCAGGGAGCTACAGTGGTATGATCTGCAGGGAGAGTCGTGGCTGTGTTCAGCGTGAGAGCCCAGGAGAGCCACACAGCTACCCTCTTGCCTCCTTGCCTTCCAGTCATGCTGACCTCTGTGTCTGTACCTTTCTCTCCAGGCTGAGTATGCCCGCCGGGGTTTCTCAGAGGTGAAGACCCCCATGCTGTTTTCTACAAAGCTCTGGGAACAGTCAGGGCACTGGGAACATTACAGGGAAGACATATTTGCCCTGCAGCCGCCAGGCTCTGCCAGGCCTGCCAGCTCCCAGAGCGACTGCCCTACCCAGCATCCTATAGACACACTCGCGCTCAAGCCCATGAACTGCCCTGCACACTGGTGAGCTGCGGGCTGAGGGCAGGAGGCCCGGGTCCTTCCAGGGTAGGGCTAGGATCAGGTTGCGAGGTATTAAGTAATGGAAAACACCTTGGGGAGAATATCAGATGTGGGATTTGAACCTTGGGCTGCCCTCTAGCTAACCACATGCATTTGGGAATATCATTGTACCTCATTCGGCCTCTGTCTCCTTTGAAATAATGCCAGGGGCTTGGAGTTGCTCTCTAAGGTCCTCTTACAGCTCAGTGCTATCACAGAGCAGGCGCAGTAAATGATGCCTGTGTGTCTGCTACGTAATTACTGAGAAGTTCGCTTCTAAACTCAGCAGGGCTCAGACTGGCAAGCTGGGTTGGTAGGACTCAGTGGGGGAGGTGCCGCAGCACTAGTACAGCACAGAGTAGAGGAGCCATCTCGGGGGCTAGCTCTCCCTGTGGCCCTGACCCTTCCCCACCCCAACTCATCAGCCTGATGTTCGCCCACCGGCCCAGATCCTGGCGGGAACTGCCCCTCCGACTAGCCGACTTCGGGGCACTGCACCGGGCCGAGGCCTCTGGCAGTCTAGGGGGACTGACCCGGCTGCGGTGCTTCCAGCAGGATGACGCTCACATCTTCTGTGCACCTGATCAGGTGACCCTTCCCAGCTCCCCCAAAGTGTTTCTAGACCACCTTCCATTCCCCTCCAGCCTCCCTGGCCTTCAGTACCTTCTGTACTGTATATACTATAATTCACTAGCTTTGTTTTTGTCCTCCGTTTCCCCCAAACTGCCATCACCCCAAATCTCCAGCTAGCATACAGCTCACCCATTCTTCTGTCCTGCCCCAGCTGGAAGCAGAGATCCGAAGCTGTCTTGATTTCCTCCGCTCTGTCTATGCCGTCCTTGGTTTCTCCTTCCACCTGGCACTGTCCACCCGACCGTCTGGCTTCCTGGGAGAGCCTGACCTTTGGGACCATGCTGAGCAGGTGAGCAGGAGGTAGGAGGCACTGGCAGAAAAGCCAGGCTTTAGTGAACGGGGGGATATGGTAACCAGAGTCCTCAGCTGGAGGCATGTGCCAGGGGATCTATTTGTCGGGGACTGGCAGGGTGTGTTGCTTAGGGAGTCTAGGATGAGGTCATCCTCTCATCTCATTCCCTCGAAAGGTTCTCCAGGAGGCCCTGGAGGAATTCGGAGAACCCTGGGACCTCAACCCTGGAGACGGTGCTTTCTATGGGCCAAAGGTGAGCTGGGGTTTTTTATTATTATTATTATTTCCTTTTTTTATTTTTTGGAGAGGTTTTTTGCTACAGGGCACATGTGCTCACCAGAAAGACAGAGAGACAGAGAGACAGAAAGTGAGAAATCACCCCCCCAGGGGGGATGGCCACGCAGCAATCCCTTCTCCTCCATTCTCCTCTCGGGATCTTGGGCACGCACACACATGCGCCCAGCATGAGTTTAAGCCACTGGGTCTGGGACTTGAACAGCGGTCCACTACATGGGAGTCCAGTGACATAGGCATTACGGCAAATGCTGGTCCCAAGCTGGGTGTTTTATTTCATTACTTTTATTGAAATTTTGGTACATACAAGGATTTTTTTTTTTTTTGGAGAGGTTTTTTGCTATAGAGTGCGTGCGCTCACCAGACAGACAGAGAGACAGAAAGCAAGAAATCATCCTCCAGGGGGGATGGCCATGCCGCAATCCCTTCTCCATTCTCCTCTCGGATCTTGGGCACGCACGCACATTCTCCCGGTGTGTTTTTTAAGCCACTGGGTCCGGGACGCGAACCGCGGTTGACTACATGGGAGTCCAGCAACATAACCATTACACTAACTGCTTGCCCCAAGGAATATTTTTTTAACTTGTATAGGTTATAAAGAAGATCAGTACTTCTTTTTTTCCTTGAAGCATGATAGAGTGTCCAAGCACATTTGAGAGTGAGAGAAAGGGAGAGCAGGAGGGAAGAAGAGAGAGGAGCACCCTTCACAGGGTCTGGTCATGTCATGATCCCCTCTCTCCAGTCCTCCAGTCTGTCAGATTTGGGGCACTTGTGTGTGTGCCCCGTGTGTTTCAGGCCAGTGGGCTGGGAAACGGAGTCACGGTCACCACGTGGGATCTGACCTCTCTAGAGCAGCACATTACTGCTGTGCCATGGGGCCAGCCCAGGAGCAGTACGTTTGCTGCTGCCCCCGCAGACCCTGCCTGATGAGGGCTGGTGGGAGGTAAGGAGGGTTGTCGGCCTCATGGGGTCCGTGCTGTGCAGGTCCTAAGGGAGCGCATTAGGGTGGGGCTTAGCCTTGCTCAGGGCAGCAGGAAGCTCTTACTGCAGAATCACTTTCCAGTCTGGAAGGCAGGTAGTAGCTGGCCAGGTGAGGGATTTCAGGAGGCCAGAGAATAGGCAGAGGCTTGGGTGAGGGCAGAAATGCACATGGCAAATTGGAAGCAGTGAAAAAAGTCAAGGGAGGGGCCGGCAAGTGGTGTGGTGGTTGGGGGCGCTGGACTCCCACATGGTTGACTGTGGTTCAAGTCCCAGACCCGGTGGCTTGCTTTCTCACTTTCGCTCTCACTCTATCCCTCTCTGGTCAAATTAAAAAATAAATAAATAAAGGTAAATAAAATTTTTTTTTAAAAAAAAGAGAATAAAAGGACCAAAAAGTGTTGGATTCAGAAAAAAGGCTGTTAGGCTTTGAAGGACCATTTTTGGTAAAGTGGGGTTTCGGGGTGGGGTCAGACAGAAACCAGTGAATGAATCTAACTCTTTCAAGAATTTTGGCTCTTACAAAAAGGCAAAGGAGAGGGGACCAGCAGTTAGTGTAATGGCTATGTCACTGGACTCTCACGTAGTCGACCGTGGTTCAAGTCCTGGACCCAGTGGCTTAAACTCACGCCAGGTGCGTGTGCGTGCGTGCCTAAGATCCCGAGAGGAGAATGGAGGAGAAGGGATTGTAGCGTAGCCATCCCCCCTGGGGGGATTTCTCACTTTCTCTCTCTCTGTTTTTCTGGTCAGTGCATTGGCCCTGTAGGAAAAATCTCTCAAAAAAAAAAAAAAAGAGGCAAAGGAGAGTAGCCAGAGGGGCCCAAGTCATTGAAAGGATGAGAATGTGTAAATGTGATGAGAGGGAGCCTGTCTGAGAAGTCGAAGTTGTAAGGAAAGGTTACAGTAGAGCAAAGTTTTGGGGAGGCTGGAGGTGGGGTGGAGAGCCCTCTACAGAAAGGAGTCCCTTTGCCATTGAGTTGAGAGTGGGAGGCATGGCGGGGGCTGGATGCGAGGAAGTTTATAGGTGTGACAGAAGTCAAGGCATTGTCCATCCCAAGGTCTCAATTACTGGAATTCTCCATGAGGTGTAGGGGGCAGGATCATTGCCACGATGCATGTGGAAGAAGGCAGCATTGTCAGGGAGGGGCTTGTACACAGGAAGAGAGGAATTGCCCCGACACTGTCGGGTAAACTGAGCAGCTCGTCCTCTGAGTGTTCAGGAGCTGCTGTGCGCTGTGCCGGGGTCATTATTCAGGTATTTCTTATTCACTTCTGTGTCCCAAATGTCTGTCTCAACAGTTTTTATTTAGCTGCTACATGATAGTTCCTAAATAAAAATATCTAAGAATAATGAAAATATGTTTAATTGATTGGTTTCAGCAATAATACTATAGAAGTAAAGAGGAAAACAATTCAGAAAAGTAAATAATGAAAATATGTTTAATTGATTGGTTTCAGCAATAATACTATAGAGGTAAAGAGGAAAACAATTCAGAAAAGTAAAAAACTGTGCTGAGGGGCCGGCAGGTGGTGCAGTGGTTAAGGGTGCTGGACTCCCACATGGTCGACCACAGTTTGAATCCTGGACCTGGCGGCTTGCTTTTTCACTTTCTCTCTCTCTCTCTGTCCTTCTTTGGTCAATTAAAGTAAATAAATAAAATCAAATAAAATAATTCTTTTTAAAAAATGTGCTGAAGGTTACAGAGATAGCCATTAGTGATAAAGTGTGTATCATGTTAAATCAGCCTACTAAAGTATTCGCTGAGATGCTGTTTAGAGAGAGGCCAGTCCTGTAGCACAGTGGTCAAGCACAGTGCATCAGGGGCCAGATCCCCCATGGCTGGCCCTAGCAGCACCTGCTGCGTGTGTGTACGGGCCCCAAATCCTGATGGGTTGGAGAAATGCAGGAAGAAGGATTGCAGTGTGACCGCATCCCACTGGGGCTGCATTCTCTTATGAGTGCATGCACCCTCTGGAGAATAAAACAAAAAGCCAGGTTTGGGGATGAGTGGGGAGAAAGCCCAAACTATCCGAGGTGCGTGGGCAGAGGATTTACCGGGGTGTGCAGAAGATTGCTGGCAGCAATGAGGGATCCAGGTGAGTCTTGAAACAGTGACTTCCAGGTGGCATCAGCCTCCATTTTGGGCAGTTCCCCTGCAGGGCCACAGAGGCGGGTGGGGTTCTGCCCTGTGGGTGTGGCAACCACGGATGGTACATGGGGACTAGGGAGAGTGGTTACAGCTGCCTGGGGAACAAAGGTGGGAGGGTCGTAGGAGTGGGAAAAGGACCCTCTATGTGGAAGAGCCAGAAACAGGAATAAGGGCCAGAAGACAAAAAGATAGTCAGAGTGGTTTGAGGGCTGTCAAAGAGCCGCAGCCCCGGCAGGGTGAGGAGGGCGGCCATGGTGTGCCAGGACGAAGCTCTCTGAGATGAGCTCAAGGATTGAGAGGCCAGGGAGAGAGCTCCTGTGGGCCACCACCAGGGTGTGTGAGATAGAGAGGCAGAACAGGGTAGGATATGGCTGGGTGACGTGACTGCAGATAGCCGGGGTCATGGGAGGGGTGAGGGTGGGGTGCACAGATGGCGGAGGGTACTGGTTCTGGCTCCTCTCATGCCCCCTCTGTCTCTTCCAGATTGATGTGCACCTCCGCGATGCCCTGGGTCGGCCCCATCAGTGTGGGACAATCCAGCTTGACTTCCAGCTGCCCCTGAGATTTGACCTCCAGTTCAAGGGGTACAGAACCCTGCCTCGTGCCCCTTCCCCATGACAGCCCCTGGGATAGGGGAACGGCTCCCCTGTACCACCAATAGGAAAGACTGAGCCAAATCCTCCATGCCCTCCCCTGCGGGCTGAATAGTCCTTTTAAAGCCTGGGAGGCGATCCTTGGGTGCATAATTTGGGACATTTCTGCCATTCTATCCACCACCTTTTCCTCTCCAAGACAGGCGGGGGCCCTGGAGCGTCCAGTCCTCATTCACCGAGCAGTGCTCGGTTCTGTGGAGAGGCTGCTGGGAGTGCTGGCTGAAAGCTGTGGGGGGAAATGGTGAGACGTCTGGCCCTCAGACAAATCCTTCACACCCAGGTCCTGTCCCCTTCCTCTCCCATCTTCTGTGTCCTCAAATCTGCTCCCTACAGCTCCCTTCTGCCAGAGCCCAATTGAATCATCTGACCTCTTCTGTTCTCTCCTATCCAGGCCACTGTGGCTGTCCCCATTCCAGGTGGTAGTCATCCCCGTGGGGACTGAGCAAGAGGACTATGCCAGGGAGGTGAGGAGCAGGGAACAAGGGAAGGGTCAGGAGCAGGAGTGGGGAAAGGCCGTGCGGGCTGGCAGGAGGGGTGCAGCCAAAGTACTCGGCCTGACAGCAGCTGTTCCACATGCGGCAGCTGCTGCACCAAGGAAAGGCGCTGACCCCTGCCCTGCAGAAACTGTGAAAATTAAATTAACAAGCGTTAAACGCTGCCCTGCCGACAAAGCACTTGGCACAGACATGGGCTGGAGTAAATGTTGATCTTTTCTAAAGAGATCGAGGATATGGGTGGCACCAGAGTTGAGCATCTGGTTGGATTGAGCGTTGGCTAGAAGCAGGCCGAGTCTAGGGAGGAGCTGGGGGCTCATCTTCAGGAGGAGGCAGATAAAGCTGGGGGTAGGGAGACAGGGACCTGGGTGTGGAGGTGAGGTGAGGAGTTGTCAGTGACAGGAGGAGAGCATGGGGCAGACGAGGAGGGATGGATGAGGATGAATGGCATCAGGCTGTTCTAGCTCCTTGGCCTTCCATTAAATTAACTTCCTGTCACCAAACCTCTGTCCCAGGCACAGTTGATCTTTTCTAAAGAGATCGAGGATATGGGTGGCACCAGAGTTGAGCATCTGGTTGGATTGAGCGTTGGCTAGAAGCAGGCCGAGTCTAGGGAGGAGCTGGGGGCTCATCTTCAGGAGGAGGCAGATAAAGCTGGGGGTAGGGAGACAAGGACCTGGGTGTGGAGGTGAGGTGAGGAGTTGTCAGTGACAGGAGAGCATGGGGCAGACGAGGAGGGATGGATGAGGATGAATGGCATCAGGCTGTTCTAGCTCCTTGGCCTTCCATTAAATTAACTTCCTGTCACCAAACCTCTGTCCCAGGCACAGCAGAGCCTGCGGGCCGCAGGACTGGTCTGCGACCTGGATGCGAATTCTGGGCTGACCCTCAGCCGGAGGGTGCGCCGGGCCCAGCTCGCCCACTACAATTTTCAGTTTGGTGAGTGTGCAGGTCAGCCCAGGACCTCAGCCCTGCATCCTCCCGCCTACCCTCTACATTCTTGTTCCTAGTTAGTCCATTAAGTTTGATTATCCACATATTCAGGTTGGTTTAGGCTCATTCCCTGAGCTGGGAAGGAGCCAGGTTTCTTACAGAAGTCCTGACCCCTTCACCCCCACCCCCCAACTCTGACCTTGAGAACAGTTTTCCTCTTTTTAGCCCCTCCCTAGCTCTTGGTGTCTGTTAATTAACCAAAGGCGCATCAGAGAGAAAGGGACAGGAAGGGTTAATGGGCATTAATTAATTAGCCTTGTTTATTCTAGACCTAGGTGGAGTCAGCCCCAAAGGATGTGATGGAGACAGCCCTGAGGGATGAGGAGAAAGGCCTTACAGAGGCTAGCAGTGCCTGGCTCCTGCCCTTTTCATTGTGCGGGGTTCAGAGCTCTGTCTTGAAGACAAGGAGCAGAAACCCCTCTGCCAGGTTACCTGGTTCTCGTTTTACGCTCCCGCTCCCCTGCCAGCATTAGAGCAGGCTGCCCCACTGTCCTGGGCTTGCACTCGTGTGTTCCTCCGCTGCCCTCTGCCCCCTCTGACCACCTCTGTAGACACACAGTTTGTTTCTTGGCCTGGCTTTCAATCTCTCTGGCTGATTCTAAAGTCTCTGACCCTGGCTCCCTGAGCAGAAGTGATAAGGCATGTAAGGAAGCGAGCACTTCCTTATGTCCTCAGGCGAACAGGGAACTGGAAAAGCAGGCACAGCTAAATAGGTCCTCCCTAAAGACAGCTCTGTCGCGTTTCTGCATAGCCAAAAGAAATACCCCATGTGGATGAATTTGCCCTGAGATTCCCAGACTCCCTTCTCCTCCCTGCAGTGGTTGGCCAGAACGAGCAGAGTAAGAGAACAGTGAACATTCGGACTCGAGAGAATCGCCGCCTTGGAGAGAGGGACCTGACTGAGGCCGTGCAGCGGCTGCTGGAGCTACAGAACGCCAGGGTCCCAAATGCTGAAGACATTTTCTGAGGCTTCATACGCAGAGGAGGCAAAGATCTGCAAGAGCCCTTCCTTACCAGAGAAGACTCCAACCCAGCTGACAGCCCAATCTGGAGTCCCCCAGGCTCCCCAGGACTCATGTGGGGGCAGGGAGATGCTGTTTGGATGTGAGGAGAGAAAAATGAAAAAAATAAACCTGAAGCTCCTGGTTTGTGTCTTCATCTCTGACTCGTGAGAGGAGGCATAAAAAGGAATGCACATCCACCTCCTCTTCCTTTATCCAAGAGAGTTGGGGACAGTGTAAATGGCCACCCTAGGCCTCTCCCTCAGGTAGCCATCCCATGCCCCTTGCCCCGTTTCCCCATGCAGTAGATGGTCAGATCTCTTCTCCACAGAACACAGCGTGCAAAGAGAGAAACTGAGGCACAAACTAAGGGCCAAACATTGCTTACTCTGCGATTTTCTAATCAGTTTCTCCTGGGGTCACGAGAATGCTCCCTTTTCCTCACCCCATTCTTCTCAATCCTCTGAGGATCCTCCTGGGTGAGTTTGGGAGGAGTGGCTGCCAGAGGAGGAGCGACTGGGACTGAGTCATGGCAGGAAGCTGAGGAGGGCGGGAGATATCCCAGACAGCCCATATAAGAAGGAGAGGGAGCCGGCCCTCAAGTTCACAACAGCAACAGCAGCAACCAGAGCAGCAGGCGCTCAGCAGCCCAGCCCTTCCCTCCCAGACTGCCCAAGAGGACCCACTTCTGGGTGGCCAGTGACTGTCCTGCCCCACAATGGGGACCACATTCAGAGCGGCCCTGGTCTTGGCCTGTTTGGCTGTCGCTTCTGCCGCCTCCGAGGGAGGTGAGTGGGGGTGGGGTCAGTGGGAAGGGGTCCCAGCCGCTGTGGGCATCCTGAGTCTAGGCATCCTAGACAACTCCTCGCCGGCAGGGTGCCTCCCCATTTGGCTTCTGTGTAGGCCCAAGGTGGGCCTCGGGCACTGGCACCTCTCATGGAGGCAGGGAGCAGAGGCCCAGGAGGAGGCCCTCCTGCAGACTGCTGCCAAAACCAAAAGGAGCCTGATGGAGAACTGGGCGGGGTGCCGGGGGCGGGCTGAGGAGGACATGTAGGAAGGGCCTGTTAAGCAGGTGAGGGAGGGACGAAGGGTGCCCAGAGAGCCCTGACTGACTCCCTCTCTGGCTAGGGGAGGGGTGTCATCCACAGACCCACCCTCCACTTAGCACATGCACATACCTGCTTCGATGCCAGAACAGAACACTCCGACAGCAGCTGTCGAGAGGAAGCCCACAGGCCTAGTCTGTGCCCTGCAGGGCCTGTCTCATCGTCCCTCCGAACTCCTAGTCTTGTGCCTGCAGATTAGCTACAAGGGTTCCTTTCCCAGGATCTGTCTTGGTCCCCGGGTCCTCAGTCGGGACCCAAAACTAATGGGGAGGTGAGACTAGCTGAAGGGGAGGTACCTAGACTTCTCAGAAGGCCCAAAGATGTTTCAAGGACCTGGAGCAGGAGGTGGGCAGGTGAGGCCCAACAGCTCAAAGCCTAAACTTTATCCTCTGAAAGCTAGAGGAGTACCTTGGCAGAGGCTATGGGGAGTCCCTGCCTAGGGGAAAGACATCCATGGAGGAAATTAGAGCCCTTCCCACCTCCACAAGCCACACCCCCTTCAGGCCCACCTGAGAACCAGGTAGAGTTGGGGCTGTCAGAATATGGTGGAGGGGGGACTAGCATATGGCATAATAGCTACGTCACTGGACTCCCACATAGTCAACCGCAGTTTGAGTCCTGGACCCGGTGGCTTAAACTCCTACCAGGCGCGTGTGCGTGCGTGCCCAAGATCCTGAAAGGAGAATGGAGAGGGGATTGTGGTTTTCCCATCCACTTTCTGTCTCTCTGTCTTTCTGGCGAGCACACACACCGTATTGCAAAAACCTCTCCCAAAAAAAAGAATATGTGGGTGTGTGGGCCAACAGGTAGAATGGTGGTTAAGGGCACTGGACTCACATGGCTGACTGCAGTTTGAGTCCCGCACCTGGTGGCTCGTTTTCTGACTTTCTCTTCTCTCTCTCTCTCTCTTTCTCTCTTTCTCTCTCTCTGTTCCTCTCTGGCCAAATTAAAATAAATAAAGTTATATAAGATAATTATTTGAAAAAAAAAAAAAAGAATGTTGCAGGTGGTGGCTAGAAGGTGGCAGAGCGAAAAATGCTGCCACTGCACCCTCCTGGGAAGGTTCTGGGTTTGCGCTCAGAGACCTCCCTCAGCACACCTGGCATGTGTGCTAATGGTCTGGGCTGGCCGAGGGTGGGGTGGATTGTGGTGCTGAGACCCTATTGGGGGTACCTGTCGCTCTCTTTGTCTCTATCGTGTGTGTGTGTGTGTGTGTGTGTGTGTGTGGTCACAGGAGGATAAAGGAAGGAATATCACAGGCTTCCTGGGAGCCCCTCAGCCCGTCTAGGTGTTTGGAGGGTTAGAGGACAGGGGGCAAGTACAATCAGAGGGGCTTCCTGTGTCTTCGCTGTCCTGGCTTCCATGCCTCTCCATCCCTTGCTCAGGGCTAGGAAGAGTCCCCTTAAAACAGCCCTGACTCACACTTTTCCCCTTCAGGCTTCGAGCCTCCAGAGATGAGGGAGCTGAGACAGGAGCCCCTCGTCCAGCACCTTCAGGAAGGTGAGTCTGGGGAAGGAACATGGGGCTGGAGTCCTGCGGGAGCTGTAGGCTCTGACTGTCTCCCCCTGTCTCTAGTTGGCTATGCGGCACCCCCATCCCCACCCCTGACCAGAGGCCGCTCCATGGATCACTCTGGCACTTCCCAGCATGGCCCTCCCTTTGAGGGGCAGAGTGAAGGTAGGGCTACCCCGCACCCTCAGTTACCCTCAGGTTTCTAACCCGAGGGAAGAAGCCGCTCCCCTTCCCCTGGCCCTGACTGGAAGGGGAGGGCTACTCACAACTCCTCCTTCTGCAGTGCAGCCCCCTCTGCCTCACAAAGGCGACCCTCTCCAAGAAGAGCTGCCTCCGCCCCAACTCCCCGTTGAACAGAAAGGTGAGCTGTGGCCGGTCCCCTCCTCTGTCCCACTGTGGCTCTCGCTGACGCCAGTCTGATCTGTGTTCCTTGTGCCCTCACCCCTGTCTGGCAGAGAATCCTCCTCTCCCTCAGGAAGGTGACCCTCTCCAAGAAGAGCTGCCCCCTCCCCAGCTCCCCTTTAAACAGAAAGGTGAGTGGGGCCATTCCCCTCCTGCCTCTGACTGTGGCTCCTGCTGGCACCCGTCTGATGGAGCCTTTGTGCCCTCCCTCTTTTCTGGCAGTGGCTCCCCCTCTGCCTCAGGAAGCCCATCCCCTCCAAGAAGAACTGCCCCCTCCCCGATTCCCGGTTGAACAGAAGGAAGGTAAGCAAGTCCCTCCCCTGGCTATCCCTCTGCCATATCCCAGAGCATGGGCCTTGGGGGCTCTGCCCCTCACTAGCTGTGTAACCTAGGACAAGCTCCTTAACCTGTCCATGCTGTCATATCTTTGTAAAACTGAGGAAATCATACCTGTTTCATTATGTGCTTAAATGATATCAAAATAGCATTTGTTTTTCACGTGCGTCCCTGATGAGTTTATGAATGGGAACAAGCCCTCTCTTCTAGAGCCGCCCCCAACATGATCTTGGCTTCTCTATCTCCTACCCCAGTAGATCCACCTGTTCTACAGCAGGAGGTCGTCGGAGACAGGCAGAGACTGGGTGAGTGACAGCTTTGCCCACCCCCTGCTTTAGCGCTCAGAAGCAGCACGGGGACAGGCACGATTTGGGGCAGAGAAAGACACCTTCCATGCCTCAGTTCTCCTTCCTTTTCTGTCAGCCATGGCAAAGGAAGAGCCATGCATTGGTTTCTCGTTTCCCCTGTGTCCTCCCATCCTTTTCTCTTCACCCCCAAGTTCGTTCAGTCACCCCAACTCACCCAGCCTTTGTCTATCCCTCCACATGATCTCCCTTTATACTCTCTTCTCTCCACTCTAGAAAAGCCAGTTCCCTTCATGCGCCAAGGCCGTCCAGTGTCTGAGTCATGGAATTCAGCCCAGCATTGCCAACAGGGCCGGTCCCGAGGGAGCTGGGGCCACCGGCTGGATGGCTTCCCCCCAGGGCAGCCCTCTCCAGACAATCTAAACCAGATCTGCTTTCCTGACCGGCAGCATGTAGTTTATGGCCCCTGGAACCTGCCACAGACTGGCTA